TCTGACTCAAGGAATATTTCCAACACACCTCTGAACAACATACTAACCCACAGAGACCTTCCTACCAACACTACAAAAAGAAGGATTCTAGGTGGACTCCTCCTGAAGGTTGAAACAACAGATTGGACTTCTACATGTGTTTCCACTGATGTGCACGGGCTGAAATTGTGGAAAAGCAGCATCACTTGCCCCATAACCTCAGCTGTGCAGAACACAACTCTGACATCATAATCAAAAAGGCTGACAAAGGAGGTGCTGTCGTCATCATGAATAGGTTGGAATATGAACAAGAGGCTGCTAGGCAGCTCTCCAACACCACTTTTTACAAGCCAATACCCTCTGATCCCACTGAGGGTTAACAAAAGAAACTACACCATCTGCTCAAGAAACTCCCTGAAAAAGCAAAAGAACAAATCCGCACAGACACACCCCTGGAACCGTGACCAGGGGTATTCTATCTGCTATCCAAGATCTATAAATCCGGAAATCCTGGATGCCCCATCGTCTCAGGCACTGGCACCCTGACAGCAGGATTGTCTGACTATGTAGACTCCCTCCTCAGGCCCTACGCTACCAGCACTCCCAGCTACCTTCGAGACACCACTGACTTCCTGAGGAAACTACAATCCATCAGTGATCTTCCTGAAAACACCATCGTAGTCACAATGGATGTAGAAGCCCGCTACACCAACATTCCACACAAAGATGGACTACAAGCCGTCAAGAACACTATCCCCGATAATGTCACGGCAAACCTGGTGGCTGAACTTTGTGACTTTGTCCTCACCCATAACTATTTCACATTTGGGGACAATGTATACCTTCAAATCAGCGGCACTGCTATGCGTACTCGCATGGCCCCACATTATGCCAACACTTTTATGGCTGACTTAGAACAACGCTTCCTCGGCTCTTGTCCCCTAATGCCCCTACTCTACTTGCACTACATTGATGACATCTTCATCATCTGGACCCATGGAATAGAAGCCCTTGAGGAATTCCACCAGGATTTCAACAATTTCCATCCCACCATCAGCCTGGACCAGTCCACACAAGAGATCCACTTCCTGGACATTACGGTGCTAATAAGCGATGGTCACATAAACACCACCCTGTACTGGAAACCTACTCACCACTACATGACTCCAGCTTTCATCCAGACCACACCAGATGATCCATTGTCTACAGCCAAGCTCTACGATACAACCGCATTTGCTCCAACCCCTCAGACAGAGACAAACACCTACAAGATCTCTATCAAGCATTCTTACAACTACAATACCCACTTGCTGAAGTGAAGAAACAGATTGACAGAGCCAAAAGAGTACCCAGAAGTTACCTACTACAGGACAGGCCCAACAAAAAAATAACAGAACGCCACTAGCCATTACCTTCAGCCCACAACTAAAACCTCTCCAACACATCATCAAGGATCTACAACCTATCCTGAAGGACAACCTATCACTCTGACAGACCTTGGGAGACAGGCCAGTCCGTGCTTACAGACAGCCCCCCCAACCTGAAGCAAATACTCACCAGCAACCACACACCACACAACAGAACCACCAACCCAGGAACCTATCCTTGCAACAAAGCCCGTTGCCAACTGTGTCCACATATCTATTCAGGGGACACCATCATAGGGCCTAATCACATCAGCCACACAATCAGAGGCTCAAAAAGAAAAGGAGTACTTGTGGCACTTTAGAGACTAACAAATTTATTTGAGCTTAAGCTTTCGTGAGCTACAGCTCACTTCATCACTATCAGAGGCTCGTTCACCTGCATCTCTACCAATGTGATATATTCCATCATGTGCCAGCAATGCCCCTCTGCCATGTACATTGGTCAAACTGGACAGTCTCTATGTAAAAGAATAAATGGACACAAGTCAGACATCAAGAATTATAACATTCAAAAGCCAGTCAGAGAACACTTCAATCTCTTTGGTCATTCGATTACAGACCTAAAGGTGGCAATTCTTGAATAAAAAAACTTCAAAAACAGACTCCAAAAAGAGACTGCTGAATTGGAATTAATTTGCAAACTGGATACAATTAACTTAGGCTTGAATAAAGACTGGGAGTGGATGGGTCATTACACAAAGTAAAACTATTTCCCCATGTTTATGTACATGTTCCTCAGACGTTCTTGTCAACTGCTGGAAATGGCCCACCTTCATTATCATTACAAAAGTTTCCCCCCCCCCCCCGTTCACCCCTCTCTCCTGCTGGTAATAGCTCACCTTACCTGATCACTCTCATTACAGTGTGTATGGTAACACCCATTGTTTCATGTTCTCTGTGTATATAAATCTCCCCACTGTATTTTCCACTGAATGCATCCGATGAAGTGAGCTGGAGCTCACGAAAGCTTATGCTCAAATAAATTTGTTAGTCTCTAAGGTACCACAAGTCCTCGTTTTCTTTTTGTGGATACAGACTAACATGGCTGCTACTCTGAAACCTAAAATTTCTTGTCATGCTTTTAAGGTCTCCCAGACCAGCAACACATAAATAGTGCTTAGAACTGCATCTTTGTGTTGCATGAATTTTCAGTAAATTTAGGATCCTGAATCCACCCTTCCCAAGTCCTGATCATTATTGCATCAAAGGGGTTAAAGCACTTGACTGTCAATGGAAGTTGAGCATCTAGCTCCCTTAGGTACTTTTGAAAATCCCTGGAGGAGCCAACTGATACATGTCTCACGCCACCTTTATTTAGAATCATAAAAGCTTTGTAGATTTTCAGACAGAGGAGATGGCATTTGGCTTCCAATTCTGGATGCTAATGGGATGGATGATTGCTGGAAATTCATTGTCCTCTAAAGTATTTCTGTCACATAGAAGTAATAAAATATGTGACTTAGATATCTATGCACAAATGCACCAATAAGCTCTAATGGGGACATAGTGGTTTGTACGCCTTCCTATACACACCTCTAGCTCCTAATAATAATAATATACTAACATATAATATACTACTTGGATTGCCTTTCACAGGATATCAGAGGATTTTCCGAAAAACCAAGGGTGAAATTCTGACCTTATGAAAGGACAGGATTTCATCCTCACGCTTGTAAATACCCCTACAAGCTAGGTAAATTGCTGTTCCATTAAGAGATAGGCAACAGGGACAGAGGTTACATGACTTGCCAAGGTCATAGAGCACCCACAATCCGCTCAAGAACTTTTCTCATTCTGATTTGAAGACTACAGTTTGTCCTGTGTCTAAGACCCATTACAGGCAGTCACCTTCACCTTGCTTTGCCTACTCTACAGAGTTTACTTTTTCTCTAGTCACCAACCAGCAGTTGCCTCAGATAACACTGAGATACCAATCCCTGAAAAGCTTAAACATAGTACAGTATGTATTACTCATTTTCCTAATATTGAAAACATATAACAGTTAAACAGATGCCAACCTAAACACATAGGGCCTGATTCTCCACTGGTATAAAAAGAATATCTCTCTATTCTTAATGGAGCTATACTGATTTGCAGTAGGTGTGGATGTGGTCCAAACTATGGAGAACATCTTTAGACTGGCATTAAAGTTAGAGGCTTGCAAGTTTACCTGAATTTACAGTTTGGTATAAATTTTTCTGGGCTGTCTGACATGTCAGACATCAGCAATATGACAGATTTATGAGAGGGAGCATGCTCTGTGTCTGTGCACACATATACACGTGTATGCACTTAGCTCCAGCTTTCCAGTGAGTGAATGCTTTCATCACCCCCAGTATCACCTTCTTTTATGAACTGACACAGTAACCTAGCATTTGGCTACATCATCTTTCTATCAGACTATCCTTTCCTTTAATCAAAAGGCAGTGTTGTGAAGCTTGATTCATTAGAGTTAGCAAGAGGCTAGGTGATCCTCAAGGAAGATAGATCTAGTAATTATGTTTTTATACTATGTGGCTCTAAAATGTGTGGACCTAAATTCACCCAAGCCGGTGCAAGGAGGTGCAATGCCTGCTTCAAGCCTGGCAGGGGGCAGATGCAGTTACCATTGCCTATCCTCCCTTGAAGTTTCTGGCACAAGGGAAAGCAGCTTTATGTTGCATTTAGAAAAATTAGATTGTTCAGTGGGTGCACTCAATGTTTGCATCCCATGGTCACTGTAGCTAACTCATGGACCTGCATTTGTGCCCCAGGGGTTCAGCAGAGGAGAGACAGAAGGTATAACAACAAAAGGTAGTGGAAGCCCTGGTATGATCAGGGCTGAAGCCTCAAAAGGGTTAACTGTTTAGATACAGCTATACTGCAGGTTTGTAGGAATCTAGTAACATCCAGTATGTTAATTCCTTGAGTATCTCAGGTCAGATAAGATATATCCAATAAAAAATGTGCCTCCTGATGAGTGTGCTGATCTCTTGTTGATAAGAAAACTTAATTAAGACTCTACCTTCCCCTGCATTCCGGAGGCAATCAAGATGGTTAAAAAAATTCACAGTAAGTCTCTAGTACACTGGCTGCAAGTTTCCAAGTCTGAGTTATTGTATTGAAAACCAGTCATCTCATGAAGGTGATATACTCAGTATCCTGCCTGTCTCCTGTTAACTGATCAGCTGAGTCAGAAGCTGTCAACTCCACAAGGAACTCACCTTGCCCTGCTGACTGGAGGCAACATGCTGTGATAGCAGCTGCCAGTGAGTGGATGAGAAGAGAGAACATAGCTAAATTCTGTTTAAATATAGAAGTCTAACACATAGTGCTCTATTTTAAAGAGTTTGGGATGATCATTTCCTTCCCCATTCAGAACTCTTAAGCAAGAGGCCTGCAGAATTTAATAAAGAATAATAGCCTTTCTGTAGATTTTTTTAAGCCACCCTATAAGAACTCTACGGGAAATGCAAGAATACGATTATGATTTCCTATAAATCTTTAGAGTGATTTAGATAGACCCCCTATATGTTACATATCTGTCCAGTTTATAGAGGGGGGAAAGGATTATTTTAAACCGATTTTACAGAAGTAGTCTTGGAACAATTCTACCTTTTCTTGGCCAGCCTTTGTTATTCTGGGGATGTCAAACAGCTGTCCTGTGTAGTACTGCACTCCACTCAGCAAAATTACAGCAACAGAGTCCCCTTCCTTCTCAATTATGTCAAGGATATCTTCAATTCTCAAGGTCTTCTCCCCCTAAAATAAAGTTAAAGCACATGTTTTACATCTACCCTGGCAGTAATGAAACTGTCATTTCTTATTTCATAATCTATATTTTACTATGTGCTGTGCTGCCTGCATAGGGAGATCAAAAGAGTATCCTAGCACAACAATGATCTACAAAGGTAATTGACAGGAAATAGCCTTTGAGTCGGTTACTTCAAAAAATGAAAAATCATTAGCAACTTATTTTCAAGGTGGTAGATTCCTAAAAACATTTGTTTTCCTTTCACCCCTCTTAATATTTCAGACAGTTTTAATGTACAATATAAAAAGATCTTGGTGCAAACAGAATACATAATGATTTTTATGCGGCATTTGAAAATCGTGATACCCACAAGTATTAAAAGCTGTCTATCAGGTCTCACCCTCATGTTTTAGTACACTTCATTTCCCACAGGAAGCTATTCTAAATCTGCCATATTTATACTTCAAAAAATGGCAAGTCTGTCATAATCAGAAATACAAAATCTAATTTTTATTCTTTGTAGCAAGATTTTCTGCCTCCTTCTCCCCACATTTCTTCCCACAAAGTAGCCACCACCCACCACTATCTCGGGACACCTAGGCAGTTAAAACTCAGAATGAAATCAAATTTGCTACTGCAATGAGTTTGGGTAAAATTTGCTAAATTGGAAGTAACTGCTATTATCTTAACAATCTTTGAACATCTATCAAGGATTCAGGAGTAGCCTCACTCTCCTCATAAAATTATTCAGATTTTAGAATCCAAACGGTCATTATCCATATTATAGTTAAGTGGCAAAGTTCTTATGTTGAGAAGGGATCGTAATGCAATCTCTCAACATGATCTAAATTAAATATTTTTTGAAGCAGGCCCTTTCCTTAGGTTGTGATAATAAAGATAGAGTATGTTGTCTTTATGGCAATCTTTTAAGATAGAAAACTATAAGGAAGATACATGCTGATGCTTCTGAATTTTGCGTTCTTTTAGGAGCCTATTGTGTTATGGCAATCAGAAAATACATTATAAGTAACTGTTTTGAAAGATTATTTTCTTCCTAAGAGATAAGTCCAGCAATTTAAGCCAGACAACAAAGATAATATTGGTCCTTAAAGTCAGAAATGTATGGAAAGCAACAGAATAGACAATTAGTGGCAATCGATAAGTTCTTCTGAAAATTCTAGGCACATGAGTAGAAATATAAGAAGAGATGCATATACATAACCAACGACAGCAGATGCTAAAGAATTTGGGGGACAACACCTCCATTCTTGTACTAACTACACATTTATAGCCAATGCTAACTAACTACATGTATATAGCCAATGTTAACAAGGAGAGCAGAGTTCTAACATTTATATCCCTCACAAACCTTGCGTGGCTGTACCATGAGCATGCATTTCTCCACATCAAGTCCATGAAGCCGAAGCTGAGACTCAACAGCATACTGAAAAAAGAATTTCACGCACTACAGTTTAGCAAAGCAAACGGATTTTAAAAGAAATGGCTTAGATTTTTAGATCAAACCTACACACACATCTTTCATTAAAATTAGTGGGTGAAATCCCGGCCCCATTAAATTCAATGGGCCAAAACTCCTATTGACTTCAGTGAGCCAAGGCTCTTTGGAGTAGGGACTGTTCTTTGTTCTATGACTGAACAGCGCCTAACACACACAATGGGGTTCTAGTCCATGACTAGGGCTCATAGGCCCTACAGATAGTACTACTACCACCACTAAGTCCACCCAGTGTCTATATCTCCAAGCTTTGCGTACCTCAGCCAATGATTTTATCACTAAAGATACTGTATTGATAATGTTTGGGGGACAATGTCACATATAGTCAATCAGAAATATTGTGCTATAGACAGTTAATAATTATAGTACAGTGGTCTGAGATGAAGGCAGTTGTACAGCTTATTATTGGGGTGTCAAAGGAACATAGAAAGCACAGAGTGTGCACAAATGAAGCTATAGTGAGCAAAGGCAAAAGTAACTGTTGAGCTCTGTAGCCTAGAATAAAGGCAATCTGAAGTTCATGCATCCGAGTTACAAATAATCCTATGAGTGATATTTGGAGTCATTTTATTGTGCCTTAAAGATTAATAAAAATTATCAATTTCCATGAGTTTACTGAGTAGATGATTAAGTAGCACTGGGCCACAAACTCAAAGATTTATTTGCTGTAAGCTGTGATGCATGGACTATTGTCTCCTATTTCATAGCACACATTCATAGCACACAAATTATGTTTAAACTAGTAATTTAAAGTGCTAAAAAACAAGCATTTCCACCTCTGTCTGGGGATATACAAGTGTTAATGTTGTGAGTTTTCTATTGATTTGGTTTCCATAAAGTAAAACAGCAACATGAATTAATAAAACAGCTACAACTTCAGTTGATTTAGGCCAGCAATTTGTTCAATGTCTTTAAAAAGACTAATAAATCAATGTACCCATTCAATCTTTTCATCTTGTAACATTTTTTATTTGAACGAAAGGAATAAAACTACAATCTGTAAAACTTGCTAAGCTCAAAAGCATCTGACAGTTTTTATTTTTATTGTAATGGTACTTGGACAAGTTTATCTAATAAATATTCAAATCAGGCTACTGATACTCTTTCCAGTATATGATTAATAATACAAATACCGTGAAATATGAATTTCTTACATGGTCGGAGGGAAAGGCTTTGGCTTCTAGAAGAATCTTATAGCGACTTGGAGTAGGGCTAAAAAAAGATAACTGTTACAAAAAAAAAGATGTTGAAACATTTATCTAAACCAATACTAAAGAATTGATCCCCATGTATAATTTAAGAAAAATACAAACAATTTGCATTTATGTAGAGCATGTCAAAATAATCCCAGAGCACTTGAAAAATATTTAGTCTTTACAATACTCTCTGATGTAGAAAACTTTTATAACATTGTACCCATTTTACAGATTTGTAAGTATGGCCATGGAGAATTTAAGGATGAAATCCACATCTTTAAGATAATGGCAACATTACCACCGACTTCAGTGAGGCCAGTATTACATCCTACATGATTTGGTCGAGGTCATACAAGCAAATTACTGGCAGACAGAAATAAAACACAGTCATCCTGATTTTCCATCCCCCTGCTCTAATCACCAAGATCCAGATTATTTCCTTCTGTAGCAAAGCCTGCAGAGGGAGTGCAGAGCTTTCTGCAAAGTTCCCACATCATCCTCTGATGATGGGGGTGGTGTTGCTGCTGCCATCCTCCTGTGATGAAGGTTGTAGGGCCTACCTCCAAACATAAACGATCAGGAGAAACCTGGGCCATTCATGCAGAGATTGTGTCTGTATACCAGCTCTGAATCACTGCATCACCTGCATCTCCCTGACAGAGAGACTTGCAAGGTGATGCTCCACAAAATATATAATACAGCCCCAAGCTGAATGTCATTTCCTACCTATACTCTGTCTGAAGCCACACCCACTAACCATGGCCCATCCACTTTCTACCCCTTCATGTAGTGTGGGATCCACACTGACAGAATGCCTTTCACAAGCTCCAGAAAAAGCAGGAGCTCTGGGACTGAGCACAGAACTTGGGGGGCTGTGAAGTGATCTGAGCCTAATGAAGGCAGCTTTATAATTCCATACTGAACAGTGAAAAGATTATTTACCAGGTGTTATATTTAGGGCCCTACCAAATTCACAGACATGAAAAATGAGTCACGGATCATGAAATCTGGTCTCCCGCCAGTGAAATCTGGTCTTTTGTCTGCTTTTACCCCATACTATACAAATTTCAGGGGGGAGACCAGCGTTTCTCAAATTGGGGGTCCTAACCCAAAAGGGAGTTGCTGGAGGGTTGCCCTTACTTCTATGCTGCCTTCAGAGCTTGGCAGCCGGAGAGTGGTGGTTGCTGGCCAGGCACCCAGCTACGAAGGCAGCATGACCAGCAGCTGTGCAGAAGTAAAGGTAACAATACCATACCATGCCACATTACTCCTGCAATGCTGCATTCAAAGCTGGGTGGTCGGAGAGTGGCGGCTGCTTAATGAGGGCCCAGTACTGTTGAAGTAAAGGTGGCAATACCTTACCGGGCCATCCTTACTTCTGCACTGCTGCTGGCGGCGGCTCTGCCTTCAGAGCTGGGCTTCCGGCCAGCAGCCGCTGCTCTCCACCTGCCCAGCTCTGACGGCAGCACTGCCTCCAGCAGCAGTGCAGAAGTAAGGGTACCAGTACCGCAACTCCCCTACAATATCACTGCAACCCCCTCCCCCACAACTCCTTTTCGAGTGAGGACTCCGACAATTACAACACCATGAAATTTCAGATTTAAATAGCTGAAATCATGAAATTTACTATTTTTAAAACCCTATGACCATTAATTTGACCAAAATGCACTGTGAATTTGGTAGGGCTTATATACTATAGTCCTTCACATGATGAGCCCATATACCATGCATTTTTGACTTAAATTGTAGGGAAATTATTAATACCTCAGATGAGAAACTTTTTGAGCTTTGATGTTTTGAGAGGACTCTCAGAGCAGCTATCAAAATGTCTCTCTGGAGATGTGTGTGGAAACTCCAAAAAAACCAAATAGGTATTTGCACACATATCTCCTGAACAAGAGTCTTGAATGCTACCCTTTAGTCATTGTTTTATAGTGTACATGAGAAAAGATCATATTTGTCCTTAAAATGTTTGTGGAAAAAAGCTTTGCTGCCCAGCTTTTGTGCTTTGTGTTTCCTATGGGCTGAGCAAGGTGCTGTATATACCACTACATAGGTCAGAGCACTCAGCAAGATCCTCAAGTCTTTTGAAAAAGGCATCGAGATCAATGTCCCATGCTTCCTTGTAGGAACCTCCACAAAATATTTTAATTAGAATCATAGAATCATAGAATATCAGGGTTGGAAGGGACCCCAGAAGGTCATCTAGTCCAACCCCCTGCTCAAAGCAGGACCAATTCCCAGTTAAATCATCCCAGCCAGGGCTTTGTCAAGCCTGACCTTAAAAACCTCTAAGGAAGGAGATTCTACCACCTCCCTAGGTAATGCATTCCAGTGTTTCACCACCCTCTTAGTGAAAAAGTTTTTCCTAATATCCAATCTAAACCTCCCCCACTGCAACTTGAGACCATTACTCCTCGTTCTGTCATCTGCTACCATTGAGAACAGTCTAGAGCCATCCTCTTTGGAACCCCCTTTCAGGTAGTTGAAAGCAGCTATCAAATCCCCCCTCATTCTTCTCTTCTGCAGGCTAAACAATCCCAGCTCCCTCAGCCTCTCCTCATAACTCATGTGTTCCAGTCCCTTAATCATTTTTGTTGCCCTTCGCTGGACTCTCTCCAATTTATCCACATCCTTCTTGAAGTGTGGGGCCCAAAACTGGACACAGTACTCCAGATGAGGCCTCACCAATGTCGAATAGAGGGGAACGATCACGTCCCTCGATCTGCTCGCTATGCCCCTACTTATACATCCCAAAATGCCATTGGCCTTCCTGGCAACAAGGGCACACTGCTGACTCATATCCAGCTTCTCGTCCACTGTCACCCCTACGTCCTTTTCCGCAGAACTGCTGCCTAGCCATTCGGTCCCTAGTCTGTAGCTGTGCATTGGGTTCTTCCGTCCTAAGTGCAGGACCCTGCACTTATCCTTATTGAACCTCATCAGATTTCTTTTGGCCCAATCCTCCAATTTGTCTAGGTCTTTCTGTATCCTATCCCTCCCCTCCAGCGTGTCTACCACTCCTCCCAGTTTAGTATCATCCGCAAATTTGCTGAGAGTGCAATCCACACCATCCTCCAGATCATTTATGAAGATATTGAACAAAACCGGCCCCAGGACCGACCCTGGGGGTACTCCACTTGATACCGGCTGCCAACTAGATATGGAGCCATTGATCACTACCCGTTGAGCCCGACAATCTAGCCAGCTTTCTACCCACCTTGTAATGCATTCATCCAGCCCATACTTCCTTAACTTGCTGACAAGAATACTGTGGGAGACAGTGTCAAAAGCTTTGCTAAAGTCAAGAAACAATACATCCACTGCTTTCCCTTCATCCACAGAACCAGTAATCTCATCATAAAAGGCGATTAGATTAGTCAGGCATGACCTTCCCTTGGTGAATCCATGCTGGCTGTTCCTGATCACTTTCCTCTCATGCAAGTGCTTCAGGATTGATTCTTTGAGGACCTGCTCCATGATTTTTCCAGGGACTGAAGTGAGGCTGACTGGCCTGTAGTTCCCAGGATCCTCCTTCTTCCCTTTTTTAAAGATTGGCACTACATTAGCCTTTTTCCAGTCATCCGGGACTTCCCCGGTTCGCCACGAGTTTTCAAATATAATGGCCAATGGCTCTGCAATCATAGCCGCCAATTCCTTCAGCACTCTCGGATGCAACTCGTCCGGCCCCATGGACTTGTGCATGTCCAGCTTTTCTAAATAGTCCCTAACCACCTCTATCTCCACAGAGGGCTGGCCATCTCTTCCCCATTTTGTGATGCCCAGCGTAGCAGTCTGGGAGCTGACCTTGTTAGTGAAAACAGAGGCAAAAAAAGCATTGAGTACATTAGCTTTTTCCACATCCTCTGTCACTAGTTTGCCTCCCTCATTCAGTAAGGGGCCCACACTTTCCTTGGCTTTCTTCTTGTTGCCAACATACCTGAAGAAACCCTTCTTGTTACTCTTGACATCTCTGGCTAGCTGCAGCTCCAGTGCGATTTGGCCCTCCTGATAACATTCCTACATGCCCGAGCAATATTTTTATACTCTTCCCTGGTCATATGTCCAACCTTCCACTTCTTGTAAGCTTCTTTTTTATGTTTAAGATCCGCTAAGATTTCACCATTAAGCCAAGCTGGTCGCCTGCCATATTTACTATTCTTTCGACTCATCGGGATGGTTTGTCCCTGTAACCTCAACAGGGATTCCTTGAAATACAGCCAGCTCTCCTGGACTCCTTTCCCCTTCAAGTTAGTCCCCCAGGGGATCCTGGCCATCCATTCCCTGAGGGAGTCGAAGTCTGCTTTCCTGAAGTCCAGGGTCCGTATCGTGCTGCTTACCTTTCTTGCCTGTGTCAGGATCCTGAACTCAACCAACTCATGGTCACTGCCTCCCAGATTCCCATCCACTTTTGCTTCCCCCACTAATTCTACCCGGTTTGTGAGCAGCAGGTCAAGAAAAGCGCCCCGCCTAGTTGGCTCCTCTAGCACTTGCACCAGGAAATTGTCCCCTACGCTTTCCAAAAACTTCCTGGATTGTCTATGCACCGCTGTATTGCTCTCCCAGCAGATATCAGGAAAATTAAAGTCACCCATGAGAATCAGGGCATGCGATCCAGTAGCTTCTGTGAGCTGCCGGAAGAAAGCCTCATCTACCTAATCCCCCTGGTCCGGTGGTCTATAGCAGACTCCCACCACTACATCACTCTTGTTGCACACACTTCTAAACTTAATCCAGAGACACTCAGGTTTTTCTGCAGTTTCGTACCGGAGCTCTGAGCAGTCATACTGCTCCCTTACATACAGTGCTACTCCCCCACCTTTTCTGCCCTGCCTGTCCTTCCTGAACAGTTTATAACCATCCATGACAGTACTCCAGTCATGTGAGTTATCCCACCAAGTCTCTGTTATTCAGATCACGTCATAGTTCCTTGACATCACCAGGACCTCCAGTTCTCCCTGCTTGTTTCCAAGGCTTTGTGCATTTGTATATAAGCACAAAATTAACATAAATGAAGAGTAAAATCTTTTCAAATTCAAGGTATAAGGACTAAAGTTAATTTGACAATATCAAATGTACTAAATATTGGAGAAAAAAAAAGAATGAATTTACCATCTGGAGATGCAGATTAACAGTTAGCCCGTTCATTAGGGCTACTTCTTCCTTTCGAGCACCTGAAAAGTAATAACACAGAAGTTTCTCTCTCTTTTCACCCTGTGTAAAGTCTGGTAAAATGATGTAAAAAGCAAAGACATGGTTTTCAGTCAATGTCTCTCAAAAGACTAGAGGGCAAACATGTTTGATGTGTCATCCCACTGAAATAAAAAGTTCTCCTGCCTGACTCACTGGGTCAGTTGACAAAAAATATGTATTTTTCAGGTTTGATATAGCCATTAAGAGATAACGAAGTAGCTTCATTTCCCAGCAAACCACCAGTTGATATACTGTTATCATTAATACCTTAGCCAAATTCAACAACAGTGCATGTTTGCCATAAGTACATCTCTAAACAAATATCTCTAGACAAAAATATATGTTAAGGAAAACCATCTATTTTTAAATGGTTAGTATACAATGCCAAGGTAAAATGCATCCTTAATAAAAATAAAAAAGATTTTTGCAAAATGTAATTTATTATTATCCACAGCCAAGCTTTTGGATTCAGCTTTGAGTACATAGCTCTGAGATAACTATATAGATATATGGAAGCTAATAGGAACCTCAGGCACAACTAATGGATTTTTCCAATATTGTTCTAACTGCTTATTTATGAACCAATTCTCAAACACCTATCAGCTGCTGGGGAGGTTTTAGGCAGGATAAGGGGCTATCTGTTATACAGGGCAGAGCTTAAACATGAAAAATTACCAGTTCCTGGCTTTGGTTTCATGTCTTTTTGTTGCAAAGAATTACAACCATCTGTACACCCTAGAGATGTATTAGCACTTTGCCGAGTCTCTTTTGCTGGAAGATGGGCTTGTCTGAGTTGCCTGATAATCTCTACAGATGTGGGGTAGGCTTGAGGAGAACAGAAGACCAAGAGAGGACCAAAGCTTGAAGGGGAGAGTGAACACATACACAGAAAAGGAGAAGCAGAGGAGAAGGACCCTGCACCATGATTCTGCCATCGGCTGGGCTCCAGAGAACTGTTCTGTCAGGATTGTAAGTGCACCGGTATAGGAAAAATATACTACTTGTGAGGTTTCAGAGGAACAGCCGTGTTAGTCTGTATTCGCAAAAAGAAAAGGAGTACTTGTGGCACCTTAGAGACTAACCAATTTATTTGAGCATGAGCTTTCGTGAGCTACAGCTCACTTCACGAAAGCTCATGCTCAAATAAATTGGTTAGTCTCTAAGGTGCCACAAGTACTCCTTTTCTTTTTGCGTATACTACTTGTGAATGACCCTGAAGTAGAAAGACCAGACTACATGGCCAGTGGGTTTGGAAACGACATGAATTTACTGCCCCAAAACCTCTGTATAAGGGATCACATACCTGCAGTAGGCCTTATTTGCTACTACTGGATGAATGGCCAAGCACTATGCTGTCTAGGATGATTTATTGTTGTTGTTGTTATTAATTGACCATATTTATTACAGTAGTGCCTAAGGGCCAATGAAGAGTGGGAGCCCATTGTGCTAGCTAGGGTACAAACACAGTATTAGATGATCCTTGCCCTGAAGAGTTTATAATATAAATAGGTCTTCAGTTGCTCCTTGTGTGTGTCATTCAACCTGCCACTGTATGAGAGGGAGGGAACTGTGGCAAGATTCTAAAGAGTCAGGAGATCTTCTGAAGAATTTCTCACATGGACTTTCCAGACTCAGTGGGCAGAGGTTTGAAGCACCGTGAAGTTTGTTGGGGGCAAGCACATCAAGCCTGGTCATCTATAGGTATGAAACTACTTCACCCTCAGCCAACCTACACTTCTCTACTACCCTTTCTTTCTCTTGGCAGCATGCTCCTGCAGATGCCATGCTGTTACATGGCTGCTCAATAGCAGCTGCAGGAGGGAGCCAGAGGGAGTTAGTGCAGCTCAGAGCTATATAAACTGCATCCTTTGTTTCCATATAGAAACATGGGGCTGAAAAAGGGGTGGCACCATGAAGTGATGGGTCCCCTGCCCCTGTCTCCCCATCTCCATAAGCACACAGAGCCCCTTCTAACTAGGGCCACAGTGGAGCTAAAACTATCTTTTCTCTGCCTGTGTCTTGTTGAACTGTTCAACACATGAACAAAAATGGTTGACTGCATGCCAATATCCCAAATTAAATATGGCACTATATTTATCACATAAGTCTTGCTGTCTTGTAATTTATATATTTAAAATTTAAAGCTTTCTTTTATTGAATTTCATGGCCACAAAAACCAAGCCTCATCCAAGCCATTGTGTCCAGTTTTGGGCCCTACAAGAAGGATGTGGAAAAACTGGACAGAGTCCAGCGAAGGGTAACAAAAATTATTAGGGGGCTGGAGCACATGATTTATGAGGAGAGGCTGAGGGAACTGGGATTATTTAGTCTGCAGAAGAGAAGAATGAGGGGGTTTGGTAGCTGCTTTAACTACCTGAAAGGGGGTTGCAAAGAGGATGGATCTAGATTGTTTTCAGTGGGAGCTGATGACAGAACAAGGAGCAATGGTCTCAAGTTGCAGTGGGGGAGGTTTAGGTTGGATGTTAAGAAAAAAAAAATCACTAGGAGGGTGGTGAAGCACTGGAATGGGTTACCTAGGGAGGTGGTGGAATCTTCTTCCTTGGAAGTTTTCAAGGTCAGGCTTGACAAAGCCCTGGCTAGGATGATTTAGATGGGGATTGGTCCTGCTTTGAGCAGGGGGTTGGACTAGATGACCTCCTGAGGTCCCTTCCAACCCTGATATTCTATGATTCATTGGAATCCTTTATAATCTGCATTGTATTTAAGAAAACAACCCTGGTATGATCCAATTAACCTATTACTATACTCAAAGACCATTCAAGAGACAAAACTATATTTGCCATCACTATCTCCTATCTTTATACTATATCACCGAGACAGAATAACCCTCTATATATTCTGCTTGATAAATCCTCTCTAATGAAAGGAAGCAGTGTTTGTAAAACACCATCCTTGCTACAACATTGGAAATAATTCTGATTGTGCTAGGCAACCACTGCCAGCTTTTTCCTACCCCTGCAGTCTTGTGACTGCAACAGGCATAGGTGATGGAATCAAGGGTGTGGGGGGTGCTGCTGCACCCCCTGGCTTGAAGTGGTTTCCATTATATACAGTGTTTACAGTTTGGTTCAATGGCTTTCAGCACCCCAACTATAAAAATCATTCCAGCACCCCTGGCAACAGGAGTCTGGGTCTCACCAGAATAAGTAAAATGCATTTTGTGCAATCACTGGAAAAGTCTAAAAGCCCCAATCCTGAAACCAGGTTATTGCTCAAAGTCACTACCAATCTGCTCAGTACTCAGTCTTTTCTCAACAGAGACCTGCCTGAGCACATTGTACAACAGCAGCAATGCAGTTAGTCTGATTTCATTAGAAGGTGATCCTGCCAAGGTTGTAATGTTTTAATAAAGTATAGTAGGAAAAGCCAAAATTACATTTTCCCTGTTACGCTATTTGGCTTAAGAAAAGAAAAGAGCTTTGGCATCTAGTGACCTTGACTCTGCATTTCACAATATATTCACCATTGTAACTTTCATTTTAAAAGAAAGTGTGAACATTTAATAAGCAAGGTGTTATAGAGCTATAAACCTTTAAATGGACAAAAGAAAATCTTTATAGCCTTTAGTCCATTCCTGAATAAATCCCACTAGACAACATATACTTACTGCTTCTCAGAATAAGCTATGACAATTCTTCCTCCTCTATAATATGGTAAATATTCACTACCAAACAGTGTTAAAATTCTGTTTATGTCTTCACATTAAACCTACTAAAGGAAAAATTCAGAATTCAGCCTTCCTCTCTCCTTGACACACACTGATATACTTAGCATTGCATGTTGCTGGGGAGAACGCTTAATTGTAAATACCACATTGGAGGAGACATTTTAACAGTGTTGTTGTTCATATTTATTCACTTCACTTTTTCACTGTTACATAAAAGAAAAAAAAAAGAGCCTGAAATAATCAGTCCATATTATGGAGACATTACCAGTCTAGATAGCTGACAATTCATCCATTATTTGGGGGAGATCTTATTATCTTAATTTGCTCCTTTTCAAAGAAATAATCATTTAGATTCTGCAAACTAGTTCTAAGGAAATTTCCCACAAATAAAATCCTGCTGGGCTGATTATTTTAATGCCAAATTCCAACTCAGACCACATTTTACAGCTCAGTACATAATGAACCTTAACTGCTGTAGAGTGCAACAGGGCTACAGAATCCTGCCCACTGAAGAACTGAAAACAAAACAAATGCAGGTTAATAGTGTGTTGACCTTTATTCATTGTTCATGCTGCTTAAAATGGATAAAGGTGTAACAACTTAAAAACATTTTGACTCTGGTGAAAGACTGGAAGAAATATTTGTAAGATACACTATAACAGTTTTATGAGTCCTCTAAAAGAGAAGGGGTGAGCAAGGAGATTGGCAACAGTAGAAATGAGATGGCTGCTACACAAAGATTTAAATTTCTACGTAACACTTCTCTCCGAGCTGTGCATATTTTCTTTAGTTAAAGTAGTACTTTAAAATACACTGTTTTGATGGTGAAATACAGAATGCAGAAGTCTGACAGATCTGCAACACAGAACACATCACTCCAATTCCCTACTTTCTGTCAGGCAATTAACAGTTGCAGCTAGATTCATCCCTGCATCAGGGCTAGCACACAGTCTGAGCAGAGGCTGCATGTACCTCTCCTTTTGTCTGCTGTTGTGGTTCAAGGTACAGGCTGGTGGGCCGAGACCGCAACCCAACATGCTGGCTAATACTGGCTCGTTGTTTCTTTATACTACTGTTGGACCGTCACGATCCACTTGTTGTCTCTTGTCTTATACTTAGATTGTAAGCTCCTTGGGGCAGGGACTTTTGTTCTGTGTTTGTACAGTATCTAATATAGTGGGGAACTATGACTGGGGCTCTTAGATGCTACTGTAAAACAAACAGCAAACAATAAAGGCTAGGGCAGCACCAGAGCTACTGTAACTTGCACCTCCTGTAGCCATAACTCATACA